GACAATCATGTCAGGTACATCGGCGAGGTACCATTGGGTGTGTACCTCTCGCGCGGAGCTCGGGACATGGTTGCCATCCCTCTAGTGAGGTATGATGATGGCTACGATGGCCCTGGTTGAGCTTTCTAAGCAATATGGTCTTTTTACTTGTCGAGGTCGGAGGCGAGGCTTCAAAAGTAACATTCGTTAGTGTCAGGGGACTCAGGGGATTTGGAGTGGGCCCCGAGTCGCTGAATACTGTATACTCCGTCGGTGCGCTGGGCTATGAGGTGGGGCGACTGGGCTTGCCTACAGTAGGAGGCCAGGCCCAGGATAGCGCTGGTTTGGGCCCTGTGTCTGATCGTCCTACCTGCAGCCGTTTACCAGGGCATGTCAGGAATCTAGACGACCAAAGCTTCCACGAACCATTGGCGGTAGGCCTAATTGGCGGTGTCCTTGATACTCAACACCACCGAGAAAGTCCCAAGTGGAGTCCGCTCTAGCATCTCCCTGCCTTGTCTTGATCGTTTTGGGTCTGCCGGAACGTTGGCGCCGACACTCTCAATCTTGGGTCGACCTCGACATTGTCTCCATGGGGTGAGCTTCGTATGATGATGATGCTGAGCAAGTGTTGGGTTGGCAGAGAGCAAGCAAAACGAAGCATATACAAGTATTTAGGAACACGTAGAGCAAAGATCGAGTCACGACGACGTGTCTATCATTGGGCAACTGCAACGTTGGTAGTAGAGCCCTGTAGAATGTTGCACAAAACCATCATAGGCCTTGGCAACGATGATTTGAGTAGGGATCAAATCGCTTGGACGGAGACGGAGATAAATTTCAGCGAGCCTCGTGGCACCTGGGGGGGCAGACGCCAGCATGGGGGGAGGGGGGGGGGGTGCCCTGCTAAATAGGCTGTCAAAGCTGCAATGCTCACATGGCCTTCAAGGACCTGGGAGGATGAGGTGCAGTGTGGAATTCAGCCCGGAACCCACTGGCGCCTCATATTTCCCTAAGGCGTGATGAAGCGTTGCGCTGACTTGGAATCTACATTTGGCGCTGACAGAGGTTCTGTAACAAGGACAATGCTCTACTCGTACTCTTTTTTTTTCAAATCCAGTTGGCATTGAAAGGACATGCAGCTGAGAACATTCCAACTCACGTCACCTTCCATGTCCCTATTCGCCCACAGGCTCAGGCTATGCCCTGCCTGGCCCAGTAGACCATTACTGTAGGGCGGGCATCATTTAGAGTATCTAGTCTCTACTCTAGCATGTCCATGCCACGCTCTCCAGGGATTGCTAGTTTATTCGTACGAGTATGGGATGGTTGAGATCCCAGGGCTAAGGACGCCGGTACCTAGGTACATACCTGTACCTGTTACTCCGAACATGTGGCATTTTTATCTCGTACGGGAAGTACCCCCGTACCGTACAGTACAGCAGTGCAGTATTGGCGGAACAAATCCCGAAAATCCTTGGCTACAGTACGGAGATCATAAGTTCGTTGATCCGCTTGCGCGCCGAAAGCACAGGCAGACATCTATCTATAGTACAGGACGGTGTATCTTGGTATCTTGAAACCCTAATAATCATGCCGTATTCCGTAGTGCCCTGTATTCTGTGCTGTTTGGGATAGTAAGTAGAAGTATGGAGGTAGAAGTGTAGTGTGGTAGGAGTAGGGAGCAGCAAGCTTGATCAGCACATTTATGATGACAGTACGGTACTCGAGTAATCACCTGCTGTCGTTCACTGAAAAAGAACTATACTCGCTCACTCGTTAATTACGGTTTTATATGTTACCTTATATAAGGCAGGGTCTTCCCAACTAACGCTTCTTCTCCTCCGTCTCCCCGGCGCCGCTATGGTCTACCGGCTTCAAAGTTCAAGCTACTACACCCAAACCCCAATGCGTTCTCCACGCTCAGATTCGATCCGACTGGCGCGAGTCAAAGTTTCATGCCATCCCCATCGGACCCATCCATCTATCGATCATCCTCTTAATGCACTTGTTGAGCCGCCTCGGTTCTGACACCTGCCTGCAGCTGCAGCCACGCGTAACTTTTCTTACATCTATCTCGTTCGCTTCATGTTTCGGAAATGGAGTGGGGCCCTTTTCTTTACTTCTGTACACTCACCGCTACCGTGATGACATTGCTCACGGGCAGTCTCATTATGACTTCTCAAAAAGGGGAACCTACTCTTACTCACATGTCTACTGTGCCTCTACTTTATGCTTTTGCTTTATGCTTTTGTCTATGTGCCGTGTGCCCCGCGCCCTACTACTGTAAGTTTACATGGAAGTACCATTCTGCAGGCGGCTCTTTTCGAACATATATCTTGAAACAACTAGGCAGTGTCTACCGGCTCCAAACTATACAGTGCCGCTACAAGTAAAATCCAAGGACGGCATAAAGTGTGATCCAGATGCAAAACTCAAAAGTCTAGAATAGTAGAATGGAAGAATAAGCAAACTCAACCTAGCTTCGCCAAGCCAATATAATTTTCCTGTTTCTGGAGCTGACGAGCTCCAGTACTTGCTTACTACCTACTCGTCATAGTCTCGTAGATCATTGCAGGACGGATGAACTATAATATTAAGATATAGGGGGGCTCAAACTCTAACGGCGCGGGAAATGGGCAGATCAGGGGTCGACCCTTATCGTTATCGCTCAGTCATCGGTACTGTAAGGGGGCGGCTTTCAAATCCTCCCCCCTTTTTGATCGCTCGCAGGCATATTGACAACCTTCAAATTCTTCCGGTGAAGATCTACTCTTTTCTGATCAGTGATCATAGTAAAAGTGAGAAAGTACCTAGGTAATTCCATGGTACAGCATGTCACTTTCGTCATCGTTATTATGCAGCGGGGACTTTTATGCTCTGTTAGCAGCGGGTGGCTAACCATCCAGTATCAGACATATGGAGTATGTGCGAATTATATCTTCACTTAATTCTCTCGGCTTGTATATCCCCTCTTTTCAATCATACGGAATACACAGAGCATCTTTACACGAAGCTCCTCCTTATTACTCCTTTATCTACATGTCTACGGTCTCTTGACCACAATGGTCAAATATTTCCCCCTTCCGTCCTTCCCCCCTTCTTCCCATTCGGCCCCCAAGCAGAGTACTACCATCCCTCGTACACGCTTACCCTTTACATCATTTTACCAAACTCCAACCTCAATCCCAACCCTATATCTACATCCTTTTGCCTAAACCATCCATCAGCACCTCATTCAATACCTATCTCAATAATCACAATCATACCCGATCATTACTCCCTCCCCCTCACAAACTTCATAATCCCGCCTCCGTATCTCGCACTTCCCCAGAACTCACGTAAAAATCCCCTCCCTCTCTCTTCTCACGTCCCACAGAAACACATCCAACACAGCCATCTACCCCTCAATATCACCTGAACAGCATACGATGCGGGCGCGAGTTTCACAACACCTCACTTCTCCTCCGATTCGCATCGAATCCGCCTGATCTAAGATGAGCCTAAAGACTATCTATCTATCTATCACATCTATTTATCTAACCTACATATACATATGTACGTATAGCCAGGGAAGCCGCCGAGACATCTATCTCTATCGGATCTGGATCACTCACGGGATCATACCATAGCACACCACTCCGTAATATCATAATGATACTGTATACCTAGTTTCCGCACACCTCTTTCTCACTTCTCTCACATCTCACTATCTCATCTCATCTCAGAGATCGAACTCACATTGCACACATCATATTCCAATGCACACAAAAATATGACCGATCTCATACATCTATCACTCACCCACTTACCCACTTTCTTTCCTCCCCTCACAATACCATCTCAACACCTCAAGAGTCAACACCTCTTCAAACAAAATATCTCACTCCTCCATACCTAACCAACTAATCCCCTCATCCCCTCCCCATGCCATAGTACGTACCATACCACACCACACCACACCACACCACACCTCCCTCGTTCCACCCAACCTATCCTATCAGCACCCCCCTCCCCCCTTGGAAACAATCCTTCTTCCTCATAGGTGCGTCTACATCGAATTACCTACCTACGGAGTATACTGTATACAGTACCAACCTAGACCACCCCCATACCACTCCATACCACCCCACCAAGCATAACCTGCATGTAGATGTACTCGGACTTGTACATTGCATCGTAGTATACTTTAGTGCAGTACAGGGCACACCGTTGTGCACCTCGCATGAATACCAACCGTCCTAATCCCATCTCATCATATTCCATCTACCAGATCCGAATGTTCCGAAATTAATTCTCCGTCCGCTTTGCAGTGCAGTGCAGTGCAGTGCTGTTTACAGTCCTGTACGCTCCGCCTTGCAAATTTACGCTCTGTAGTTACTACAGTAGTTAGTGCACCCCGTTTACTCCGCTCTGTGTAGTGCGCGCGTAATCCCCAGGTCGATGCGGATACATGCGCTCACTCGTTCGCGCACCCAATCAAACTCTCAACCGCGGGCTTCTGTCTCCAAACACGCATTGTATTGTGCGAAAACACGAGTGAGTGAGTAAGGCAGGCAAGATAAGGCAAGGTTTGATTTTGATTTTGATTTCATTTTGATTCGTCTACTGTGCTGTTTCGTCTAGACTCTGATTATAAACTGCTTTGCCTGTCTACATACGTACGTGCGCAATTTACCATAAAACCCAAAAAGAACTCTCGGTTTGTTCGCTCGGCACGATGCCGTGTTGATCTACCGTGCCGGCCGAGCGTGCGATCAAGCCAGGCCATCGTGGTAATAAACTTCGGCATTTAGACCTAAACCGGCCACCTCTACGCTACTTCGTAGTATCAAATCGAAGCGGTGTACACTACTCCGTATATTACTGTACAGTAGTCCCAACCCTATCTGACTACGTAACGAGTAGATCCCAAAATACGGTGAAGGTGTGGAGATTGCTCCAAGACCGAACCGGTGGATCGGGACTGACTAGACTCATGCAGTATATCTCGTATGCAGCATAGCCAGACTTCACTCGATTCATGTAGATGATGCATCATTTGCGTCTACTTTCGTCACACTCTCACCGCCCTCTTCCAGCTCTTCTTTTTTGTGGAAGGTATGCGACTCGCTCAGGTTCACCGCTAGGAAACTCTTGGGGAGCTTGACGCTATCGGTTCCATATTGATCAGCTTTTGCTTCATAGATTGGGATTGGGAATTGCGAATTGAAGAGGAGAAAGTAGATAAAAACTCACGTATGAAACTTTGCCCTCAACGTCTCAATAACCTCTTTCCAATCTGCATGCGCCGTTAAGCTCCTCCGCATCGCGCAACTGATACAATGTTTACTGTCCAGCTGGACATCCAGTGGATCAAAAGTATGCGCGCCAGGACTAATCGTAATGCGAATAGAATAAGCATATTTAGCTACATCACCTGGTGGAGCGTTGGGCGGGGTCTTGTTCTCGGATTCGTAGAGCTCGAAACAGATTTGCGATAGGTAGTCGAGCTCGGGAATAGCGCTGCGTTTTATCTTCGAGGAGATGCCGCCTTCGAGAATGCAATTTAGGAGAGTGTAGATGTGCGATTCTTTGGTGAAGTAGATGAAGGATTTGGCATCATCCGAGGCTTGCATTTCTTCAAGGTCTTGGACGATTTCCTACCAAATGTTAGCAGGTGGAGACTTCTCTTGTGGATGGAACAAACCTTGAGCAAAGGAAGCGATGTCAGTAGTCCAATCTCGAGCTTTTCACTATCCGTAATACCATACTCTTGCGGGCAGATGAAATCGAAGAGAATCTTGGCCAGTTTATATAACTCCCTCAACTTTTCAAGCCTGACATCCGTCTTGATTCTAGTCTGGCTGCTTCCAGTGAAGAGGTTGAAGTACTGTTCTGGCTTCTCTTCTAAAGATTTGCTTCCGCCAGCCGCAGCCATTATCGAACGTCGCCTGAACATCCGCCTATGGATGCTCTTATTCGTGTCCACTTTCTCAATAGGTACAGTCTGACTTGTATCGACCTGAGTATCTTCAATTGCGGTCTCCCTGTGTGGTGGTGGCTTCTCCATGCCCCTGGATTCCGTCATAAGAGCGTCTTCTTCCTCAGCTAATATACCTGAACTTGGCGTGAAGACCCATTCCAGGAACTGGCGATTGTGCAAGGCGTCGAACTTCATAGTATCATATAATTCAGATATCTTGCTCGGGTCCACCTTATCTCCGTCACAAAACTCCGCAAACAGCTTCTCCCATCTCTCTTTAAACAGCTCGGCGTCTTCACCGCAGCACCAACGAGCTTGCACATTACTCGTGGCAGTCGCTTGTGATATAGAGGAACCAGCAGAAGAGGAAACACTACCGGTTTCCTTATCGCCTGGGTTGGCAATTGCATGGAGCGATGTTGTTGCTCCCCCGTAGAGCTTGCTGTAGTTGTGACGCATAACTCTTCGATGAAACTTCATCAACTGAACGACGTACGCTTGGACAATTGACGGCTCCGGCATGTTGGCGGGCCAGGCAAATTGAGGTGGTGCTTCTGTACCTTGACGAAGTAGAGTCTTGAGCTTCTTCTTGACCTTATCCATCTCATCTTTGGCGGCATTCGAATCATCTAGCAGATCCTTTCTGATCGTTATGAAATCCGATGGCAAATCTTTCTGGCCTGTGAACGCGGATGCCCAAATCTGTGCACTAGTTGTCACTCTCCTCTCAGAACTACTGAAGACGTGTACTTCATCCAGAATATCTCGATTCATCAAGAGGAGATCATTTCGCATATTGTCTCCCAGCTCTTGAGATTGATATCTGGCTGAGTGGGTTGGCTCCCCACCCCACTTGATGATAAGTTGCAATTTGTCCAGGACGAGACTGTTTTCCGCAGCTGTGATTCGAGATAATGTAGTACCGGACATGGAGTCACTACGTGTCGGTGATCTTACGAGACTTGGGTCGTCCTTTTCGCTATTAGGACTGAGAGTTTTGGTGGATTCTTCCGTAGCAATCATAGCTTTCTTCAGGGTCTCCTTCGGAGAATCTTCCGCAGACTGAACTTTGGACTCTGCAACCGAAGAGGCCACAATTTCCTCCGGCTTTCTTTTCCTAAACATAGGCTTGATTTGGACCTTCGTTCCAGCCCATCCGCCTTTCTTCACCAACACATTCTTCAATGTTCTTAGCTTCTCGAGGTCTTCAATGCCTTGTTGTATTGCGACATCAACAGCATCAATAACACTGTCCAGCGCAGCTTCCCCAGTCAATAGAACTTCTTCTTGGTGACCCTTGAGTAATTCAATAAAAGGCTTCGTATGAAAGGTGAACTTGTACTTCTGCTTTGGCGTTCGGTCTGCGTGACGGATCACTGAGACCATACCCTTCAGCTTCCATGTATGTTTCGGCGCGGGCGGTGGAAGCATCTCTCCTCCTAGTGAGGAATCCGGAGCTGGCGTGATAGGCACCGTCGATGGTGTTGTTTTGGTACTCGTGGGTAGTGAGACTGCAGGTGGAGGTAAGAGAGGCGTGGGGGGTATGGCTGGAAGGGACATTCCGCTTTCAGGTCCAGCTGGAGGTGATGTTCTCGGGGTTGGGGCGCTAGAGCCATCCGGTGAACCTGTTCCAGGAGCTCTTCGGTGGCCTTGCATCTTGGATATACTGGGAGATTTTGAAAGAAGGTGCTGCAATGCAGTTCTATGATTCTCTTTAACCGTATCTTTTCTGGCAACCTGAGGGCTGGTACCATTTGATGGAGGGGTTGACGATGGGGCACCATTTTCAGTGATGCCGAGCTGTTTCTGCTTCTCTCGAATGAACATTTCCCTTAAAATGCGAGAGCATTGGATATAGTATTCATCATTGTCCTTGACAAAGCTCCATCCATTAACGTCAATAACATAACTCTTACCCCCTGCCCGCAACAGATCAAAACCGCAGACCCGTTGCCCAAATGATGTAGCGATTCGACTTGCCATCGCTGTTTCATCTTTGGAGAGGCTGGTAATATACCGGATCTCCTTTCCATGCGTGTTGCGGCGAACCAGACCGTCCACAACAGGTGACTTGCGAGTCTCGGCGTGACAGTAATTTGGCCCAACCGTGTAAGCCTTGACATCCTCTGCATGGTCGACGGCCATGAACTTCTCGTATATGTAGCTGCTTCCTGGTTCTAGGATTGCTCGAGGCACAACCATGCCATCGACCATCTCGGAACTTTTGTTGCCAATCTTGCGGAACAGTTTTCGAGCTCCTCCACCTTGACTTTTGGGATAGTAGATGCAAATATTGTGATCCTCCCCGCTGATTGGCTTTTCCACAAATGGTTTAGCCAAGAGTGTGCCATCAACACTTAGTGTATCGCCATCATCCAGGAGTTCAACCTTTCGAGGTGCAATCGATTGGCCTCCAGTTCCATCCTCGGGACCTTCTAGAACTATACCAGTTGTGTTTTTCAGATGCTTTGCAAGGTCCGCTGTAATCAAACTTGGTCCGCCGTCACGATTGACCTCCAGCCTCTTAGGCGTCGGGACGTTAATTTTATCAAGAATCATTAAACATATTCTTCTGTCCCATAAAATTTTCTGCATTGGGACATCGTTGACGCAGAACGGTTTCCGAGCCTTCACGTATGCAATTGCCTTGTCCAAAGGAAAGCCATCAGAGTAAAACGATATCAAGAAGTCACACATGGGCCAATTCTCAATGTCTTCATCGAGAATGACTTTGTCCCCAAATACAACCACGTCAAATTCTTTGTTCGCGATAAGGCGGTTGAGAATATTCCGACTGGGTTTACTCCGAGCTTTTGCATCTAGAGCGCAGACTCCAATTGTTCCCCATTGTGGAGGCTTATTCTTCTCCTCGTCTTTCGATAATACTGCTCTCTCACTGCTCGGACTGTGGCTGCTAGCTCCAGTACTTCCGCTGAAACGTCTCTTCGCACGACTTCGAGATCTCGTAGGAGGCTGTGATCGTGCTGTTGGCTCTCCTCGCTGCGCAGCATTTCGTTTGGCGATATCCGTAGCGTGGGCGGGAGTCTCTCGAGCTGTAAGGGAGTGACCATTCGCTGAGCTGTGGTTACTGAACTGATTCGATGAAGATGTTGTGATGGATACGGCAGATGTTGAGGTCTCTGCGTGAGAGATACCTAAATTCTTCTGCGTTGACAGCGCAGGACTCCTCGGATTTGCCCCTGCTTCTGAACCATTGACGGACGCAGCCGAGCTCGTGCTCGGCGCCCCTCCTGCCCGTGCAGAACTCAATGAGTACATGGACGATACCGACATGCGTTTCGAGGGCTCCATGTCTGATGACATGGACGGCCGCGATCGTAGTGCCGCTTCGGCCAACTGGGGATTCTTTGTCTCGTCTGCCATATTTCCAGGAGAAAGCTTGGGTGTATCAAAGTCTACAGCACAATCTTCCTTGCTGGACCTCCTGCTGTTGCCGTCGCCTCCTCCCAGTCCTGGTCGTGCTTTATCGCTCGACTTGGCGCTGTATGTCGACGAAGTTCGTGATTGTGGACGAGGGGGCATAGAGATGCTGGCTATATCGGAATGCGTTTCTGTTGTTCCTGGCTCCGCGTGTCGGCCCTTGCGACTGGACAACGGGTTCAAGCTGGAAACGGGGGACAGCGTATGAGAAGCGTGTCGAGCAGTCGGAGGAAGACGTTGGGAGACTGGGTTTTCAGAGTCTGAGACTGGGATTGGGTCTGGGACTGGACCTGGACTCAGACTTGGACTTGCTGTAGAAGGGTCCACTTCTGAGGTGCTGGGATGCTTAGTACCTATAGAACTATCAGGGGATTGGGCGGTGGAGGTAGAGGTAGAGTCCATTATTGTTCTATTATATCAATTGTCAAAGAGAAAGAGAAGACGAAGGATGGGAACACGGAATGGGAGGCATAACGAAAGAAATAGAAATATGGGAGTACACGGCCACGATAAACATAATTTAGAGAATTTTCTGTGAACCTTATCGATGACGGAGGGCCAAGAATATTGTCCCACGCAAACAGCAAAAGGTCAACGCGAAGGGATGCAATGAACTTGATTACATTTGATAGAGACAGAGAAGTGTGAATAGCTTCATAGTGGAATTACTGTTATATAGTATTGCAGGATGGGAAGAGCAGACTATTACTGTTATTAAAGGCAGATGTGATTGATATGCCCGCCCCCACGTTTATGTTAGCACGTCGGTACTGTACAGTTGTTCCACAGCACAGGACATGCAGGGATCCAAAAAAAAAGTTTCTGCCGCGAGGCTAGAGAACCGTCGAGGGAGAAGAACGAAAGACAGACTGACCAATCTACACAATTCTGGCATGACTTCAACTCAATAATTCGAATCTCTGCGCCTCGCAGACGAAAAGTAAAAAAATAATGCCTTCTTCTATCGCTCCTATTCGCGATGGGCCCGTGGTGAAAAGACAAAAGCTCAACGGAGCTGGAGTTAATGCGCCGAGAGATGCACAGCGAGAATCTAAGATATTTACACCTTTCCGAGTATGCGCTCCAAATCTTTATGGCAAACCAAACATGCTAACACGGACAGACAATTGGTTTAGTATCCTCTACTGCCATTCCCTTCACCTCAATACCCCTAGGAAAAACATCCTTTCAAATCACCACCTCCGTTGGTAGATGTCTGCAAACCTACGATCTCAAGCGCGGCCTCAACCTCGTCTTCTTGACTCGACCGCAGACACCAGGAGATATCACTGCGACGGTAGCATGGAAGGATCGCGTATTTGCAGCCTGGGGCGGGGAGTCTTCTCAAGGCCTTTGGGTATTCAAGCGGGGCAAGGTGGTTGCAGAATTGGATATGCCCGCCGACCTCAAACAACCAATCAAGGATATCCTCATTTTCGGCTCATGGATAGTAGCATGCTGTTCCACAAGAATAGAGATCTGGAAGTCCGGGACGTACGAGCATTATACGACATTACATCCCACTGCGGCGCCGAAAGGAGGGAATGAGTTGAGTGGGGGGATTTGTAATATGCCGACGTACCTAAATAAGATCTTCGCCGGGAGGAAAGATGGCAGTGTAGAGATTTGGAATGTCAGTTCGGGGAAACTCATCTTTACCATTTTGCCTCCAGGTGCGAATTGCGGGAGCGTGACAGCTCTGCAACCTACACCTGCGTTGTCGCTGTTGGCAATCGCGTACTCAGAAGGCCCTTTGACGATACACGACATTCGAGCCGACAAGACAATCATTCATCTCAATGGCGGGCAATCCGGTTCTATTACATCTATATCGTTTCGATCCGATGATATGGGTGCAGGCGAAGATGGGAGAAAGCCGGGAGTAATGGCTACAGCTGGACCAGACAGCGGCGATGTGATATTCTGGGATTTGAATGGCGGTGGAAGAGTCATGGGAATACTAAGAGGAGCACATAACCCACCATCAGGCACAGGAGCCACTGTGGGAGGTGGTGTGAGCAAGGTGGAATTCCTTGCGGGTCAGGCAACGATTATCACAAGCGGTCTTGACAACTCTCTAAAATCTTGGGTTTTTGACGACTCGCCATACAGTGCCATACCCCGGTTATTGCATTCGCGAAGTGGCCACGCTGCACCAGTTACCAAGTTATTGTTTCTCCCTTCCGATTCAGATGGCGCAGATGCTGGAGGAAAATGGTTACTGAGTGCCGGCAAGGACAGGAGTTTATGGGGGTGGAGTCTTCGGAGAGATGGGCAAAGCACTGAATTGAGTCAAGGCAACATAAGGAAGAAGGCGAAAAAACTGGGTATCTTAGCAGCTCCCACCCTCGCGAACGAGCCTAGTACGACGCTGGAGGACCTGAAGGCTCCCGAGATTACTTGCTTAGCTATGTCACTCAATCGAGATGGTGGTATGGGGGCAAATGCAGGAGACGGAAAGATATGGCAAAAAGGCAACCACGGGAATAAGAGGCCTACAGATGCGACACTGAGTGGGGTTACGGGATGGGAGAGTGTTGTTACAGGTCACAAGAACGACAAGTTTGCTCGCACTTGGTTCTGGGGAAGGAAGAAGGCTGGGAGATGGGCCTTTGAGACTGGTGATGGAGCGAATGTGAGCTCTGTGGCCATTAGTCCATGCGGGACATTTGCTGTTGTTGGGTCAGAGTCTGGTGGAATTGATATGTTCAATCTTCAGTCTGGAATGCATCGGCAACGATATCCATCGAAGCTAACGCCTGCTCAGGCGAGAAAGCTACAGATTCAGAAGATCCAAGCATCGGAAAGTGCTGTACAGGTTCCGGCTGTCAAGTTCCCAATGGGATTGGGGAAACATAGGAAATCAGTTACTGGCTTGGTGGTGGATTCTTTGAACAAAAATCTCATCAGCTGTTCCTTGGACGGCAAAGTCAAGTTTTGGGATTTCAGCTCAGGGGCCCTAGTTGATGAAATCGACTGGTTCCCAATGGCTTCTATCACCGGAATGCGATACCACGCACCGAACGACCTAATCGCACTCGCGAGCGACGACCTTTCAATCCGAGTCGTAGACGTTATTACCAAAAAGACCATTCGAGAGCTCTGGGGCTGCCAAGGCTCCATCAACGACTTCACCTTCTCCAACGACGGCCGCTGGATCATCGCCGCCTCTTCCGACCGCATCATCCGTGTTTGGGATCTCCCTACCGGCCACCTCATCGATGCAATCCGTACCCAGACCCAATGCACAGCCTTAGCATTCTCCTGCACCGGCGAATTCCTCGCCACGACACTCGAGGGAGAACTAGGCGTCAATATCTGGAACAACAAATCCCTCTTCACGCACGTTCCCACGCGCCACATTTCCGAGGGTGAAATCGCAGATATGTCTGGCCCGACTGTCTCAGGCGAAGGCGGACACGGCGTTATTGATGGAGCTTTTGACGAGCAGGGAGAAGATGAGACCGATGATGCTGCGCCAGCACCGACAATTGAGCAACTGAATAGGGATCTCATGACGTTAAGTATAGTGCCTAAGAGTAGATGGCAAACCCTACTTCACCTCGACGCCATCAAACAACGCAATAAACCAAAAGAACCTCCCAAGCAACCCGAAAAAGCCCCCTTCTTCCTTCCCTCGCTTGACAACCCGTCGCCCAAAGCTGCTCTGGAAGAGGAAGGCGGCGATAGTATTGCGGAACGCAGCAGGATCATGAAGATGGATCGGCTGGCAAGCGAGGGCGCATTCACGATTGCATTGAGGGCCGGGAGCGAGAGTGGCGATTGTAAGTTTTCATTCATCCTATGTATGTTCATTGACGAAGCTAATTGCGAAAAATACAGATACACCATTCATCTCGCATCTCAAAACCCTCTCCCCCTCAGCCGCAGACCTTGAAATCCGCTCCCTGTCCCCTGAATCCAACGAACTCGTGAACTTCACCCAAGCCCTCACGTCCAGACTCCTGCAAAAGAGAGATTACGAGCTAGTGCAGGCTTGGATGAGCGTCTTCTTGAGACTCCATGGTGATGCGGTGGCGGGTGATGAGGCGTTGAGGGACGCTTTAGGGGTGTTTAGGGGGGAGATGGAGAAGGAGGGGGGAAGGATGGCTGAGTTGGTGGGGTTT